ATATCAATAAAATGAATTTTGGGTTGAGAAAACATTGTTAATTATTTGAAACATCAGCAATTTAAGCAATAAATAAAAATTATAATATCACTATTCTCTTGTTGATCCAAATGTTTGATCATCATTCACAATAAACTGAAACATTCTCTTTAGGAAGTCCAAGTTGGGAACTAATTTTGAAACGTTTGGTACACGCTGCTTCATGTTGAACAAGACATTCTGAAACATTTCTAAAACTTTGAAATATATCATGACATCTAAACAATTTAATTTTGTAATGCTTCCTGTTGGTGTCCATCTCGTTAATTACTTACGTTGTTGAATAATACGTTAGTCAACGACTCATCTACAACGTCCTATATAGAGTATGCCTACTGGGTACACACTGAAAATGAATTCTGTCTAAAAATGATTGTTCGGCGGAATAATGATTGAGTAAATTAGCATTTTCTTAATAATAATAATAATAATAATAATAATAATAATAATAATAATAATAATAATAATAATATTCACTACCCTAATTAAAAACTCAGATATTATTTCATTGTCAACTTTGGTTGTGAATGTACTAACTTGGAGTTCATTCAATTAATTTTTGGTCATGCCATTTCGATGAAAATAATTACTTTAAATTATTAAGGCTTTTAAATATCTCGATAAGAGTCATTTGCAAACATTTATTAATTTTGACTTCACTACATTTTTCACAGCGCTTACTTTGCGAAGACGTCGAGAAAAATTCCACTGCGTAGAATGTTGGAAGTCCTTCAAGAATCTTCTATTTTTGTCTCTTGTACTTGAAATCCGACGATTTAGTATTATCGGCTGACTAATATAATTATTAATTACGTATCCAATATCGGACTATTTACAAACTCCTAAACCTATATTAAGAATAATACAAACTATTTACACTTGAATGAATTCGAAAATATCTGGGTAGGATATTTGTGTTTCGACTTAAGATGACGACTTTACTTCTCGTATTTCCACAACAAAATGTCCTACTTCCCAAACAATACCATCGGTCGAAATCTTTCCTTAGCAAAATTTTTAATGAAATTACAACTGAAGTTTAACTTTTTTAACGTTCCATTAATTATCTTTCAGTAACTAAATCCTAAATTTTCTATCCTCCGAAGTGCCAAGCTTCATTAATGTGCGTCTACATGTGTGGCCTTTCGCGCCTGAATCAATTTTGACAAAATCACAGTTTTTAAAAAACCCTCCGTTTCCACTTTTTTTTTATTTTTTACTTTCCATAATCAATTTTATCATTGGCCTTACTCATTTGAAGACAGTCTCTTATTTGACCTGATTCCCACACTGGTATTGAAACAAGTCACCATTGGTCTTATATCCCTTCTTCATTACTTCATCTGATGCAAGCTAATAAAAAATTTAAAATCGGACATGCCCCAAATCATGAATGTTTTTAATTGCTGTAATAGGTATCCAACGTCCAATATTATTCATCCATTTTGCTTTTGAACACATAAGAAACCTGAAATTCGCGTGAAATATTGCATCAGATTTAGTTCTCCACAAATTTGTCTACTGAAATGTCTATTTGGAAATACTTCATATTACTAATATATTATATCTGGGTACCTAGTATACTAAAATTATTCAGTCACACTTCATTTACATTAAATTTCGTCTGGAGTATTTGATATTTCTCAACACTAATGACGATTTCACATTTTATCATATAAAATAATGTCAGACGATTGCTAGACATCGTGTTTGAATACAGCAAGTAATATTTTCATTCAAAAACAGTCCCGTAAGTGTGTAATTACACAAAAAAATTGGTCATTGCTTCCAAACGCAAAACAGTAAATAGTACATATTGAAGTTCTACTTATATTTCATTTTAAAATTATTTAAAAAATATAAAATAATGAAGTAGTTATACACATATTTAATGATTATCTCTAAGTATATTCAATAGTTCGCGCAAATAAAAGTCTCGGTGAAGCCACCGAGAAGAAGTAGATGACTCCAAGTTCAGCCACCGCCGACCCCCACTGAGGAGAGGCGAAAGAGGAAGGTTTCGTGAGACCTGCCGCTGTGGGCTGAGGCAGCTGAAAGGCAGGCTACAGGCAAATACCGGTTCAGTGGCGCGTTTCATGTGAAGACCGCCATTTAGAGCTGTGTTCCGCTAGCGATGGCGCGAACGCGCGTCTGCGCTGCCCGTCTGCTTTGTATGCTGGTGGCAAGTGTCCGTCACCGAGCGCCGCAGTGAAGACCTCAATTTAAGCCTAGGCTTTGTCCCAGACCATCGCGTCACTCGAAAGCGGTTCTAAGAGCAGTGAGGGAGCTCTTTAACTAGAATCACGAAAAAAGGTACAAGGATAGTGTTAGCATGTCACTGACAGCATATAAGTCTTTCCCTAAAGTACTCCAGTCCTTTTTATACGCTAATAACTTTTGCCACAATAATTTACGGACACTCAGGTATGACATTACGTTTTGTCGCTTACTTCACCGTGATTGTCATTCTATGGTTCAGGGCTTTAAAAACAGTTGAACCAGAGACAAACCTGTTCGACTCTTCTTCGAAATCCAAGCTCATTTCACAGGACCCCGATTTTGGCCAAAATTCTTTAACACATATATGTGGCTGATTTTTAGAGACTTAATACATCTACAATAAAGTTTATACTGATGACCCACATTTCATACAAACCTTTGATCTTTCTGATACTGGTAAGACTCTAGGCCTAGCGGGTAATCTGTCTGCAATAAATTTCTATGCGTTGTGGAGGATCCAGCTCCCACACCCTGAACAATGGTGCAAGAAACGAGAGGAGGCCACGGTCTACCCTGTACGAGTAATGATATTACTAAGAAAATATTACTCCTCGTTCAAGACCGAGATGAGCCGACTTTGATAACTTTGGCAATTTTTGAAATTACAGATGCTTTAATGAAAATTGAATACACGCCATTTTATTAAGTAAACTGTATACTATTTGAGGGGAAAAAACTAAGTTTGTTTTTTACAAAATCTTATTTAAGTATTACTTAAAATTGACCTGACTTATTTCAAGTGGAAACTATTTATATTCTTACAATAAGCAATTTATTTAAGTTTATATTGTTAGAAAATCAAACCTACAATAATGTAGTTGGAGAAGGGGATTTAATAAAATGGGAATGTTTTGTAGTTCTTAAAATTTCAGTTGTATTGCGAATTATAAAAAAAACATTCTGGGACTATTTTATCTGGGACTATCTGGGACTATTGCTCAAAAGTAAAATATATTTTTTCACATTCGAGGGTCATGACATTCGTCAGAATAATCGTGGAATATTTATTTTTATGAAAGTTCTGTGTATGGATTAGGCACTAGTACTTTTTAGACGGATATGTGTTACATAGCTTTCTCTACACTGCTACCACGAGAAAGTAAAATGAGTACTTGAGATACCCATTTTAATATTGGCGGTACTGAATTTTTGCGGTTTTAAAAACAAATGAATTATTGTTTTTACCTATTCTGGTCAACTACCCCTCATCATATCGAGAAAAAATCTTCAGCTATTTCATGTACGATTGCGATAGCATCCAACAGACAAGTATGAAGTGAGAAAAAATAATTTAACAGTGTGTAATATATTTTGTTGTGCATAAAATATAAAAAATTATAGAAAGCAATGGAATACGGATTTCAACAGTGTAAAGTTGAAGATGTGTTCTTTGATAAACACCGTGCAGAAAGAATCATGATACAAGGACTTACACGTCCAACAAAAATAAATCCAGTATTCACTGGAGCCGTAAGTAGATAGAGGAGAATTCTCCCTTTGTGTAGGTTATGTACATGAATTAATGAAACGTTGCATAAAAATGATCGATACAACTATGCCCATAAACATACTTATTCAAAGATTTATACATTGATGCAATGGTTAAGACGTTTAACAACATTTCAGTGTTGAAGAAATGCCATCTTAAAAAATGAAAACTCCTGTTTAATGTCATGTTACTTCTCGAAAAACAATGGAAAATAATAAATTGAGCAAAAACTCTCACTCTGAGAAATGATAGAGCAATACAAGATCTTTTACCATAAAGAGGTATGTAAATTCAAAGCATTAACATATGAACAGTATCTGCCCGGCATGCGACTATTACATGTTTTACTTTCACAAAATGTACAGTATGTAGGGAATAAGAATGTGAATGTAAAAGGGCTAAACAAAGTAACCACAAAATTTGCATAGAAACTGATATTTACTACCTTCACATGGATACACTTCAATAACTCACAGTTTAATATTAAAGAAAATAAAACAAACAATTTAAGTGTGTGTTGATAATGAACTTTTCAAATACCTCTGTTTAATTTTAATATTTATAAATTCAGGCATAGTGGGGCTAAAAGCGATAATTACCTAGTTTTAACATTCATATTATCAATCATTCACGTCTTTCACAAGCATGGCTTTACTACTCTATAATACTAAACATATTCTAAATGAAATATTTTACATTAAATTAGTTTATTTTAAAATATTAAATTGCTTGAGTATAAGTAACACACACTTAAGTAAAAAACTAATTTTTAAATAATAGACATGATCGCGATAAATCAATAAAATAATCATAATAATATGTAATATAATAAAAATGAAATATTTCCTCTTTTCGTTTCTTCTAGAGGTTAACAAACCACTGGCAAAATATGCAATAAAATCACATATCTTTTAATTCAAAAAATATCCTTTTCCCGTTTATCAACGGCTTTATAAAATTCTTTAAATTTTCAATTGCCTGTCCGGTAAAAAACACTTTATATGTCTTACTATTATCTTATTCCATGCGTCTCAATTTTCAAATTCATGACTGTTTTCAGAGATTGCCTAATAAAAGTAGCAAGAAAGTCGAGTCATACAACATGGATGTATTAAAAGAGTGTGTATGTGCAAGATCTACAGACTTGCAATCTGCGAGGGACATTTTACGACCATTTTAGATGCGTATAAAGATGGAGCACCTGAAAAGTAAATTTTCAAATGAACTGTCTTCGGACAAATTCCGCACACCATCTCGACGAGGAGGTATAAGAATGTGATATTATCGATTTGACGAAACATAATTGCGCTTATCACTGTATTTAACGTATTATTAATTGCAACATTTGCGACCTTCGTTTCGTTCATGAATTTTTATCATTGTGACAGCGCATTAAATGTTATTGTCCATGTCCCTGATCATTTTGCCCGTTAAGTGTCTCCTCTAGAGGCAAAATGACAGTACAAATTAAATAAATAAGCTCATATATAAAAATTGTATTATATTGCGATATAAAAACTAAATATTATGGTATTGCGACATAAATTAAAAACAGTACCTTCGTTCATTCACTTTTCAGGATGAATTTGAGTCGTTCTTAACACTTATGCTTTATTATTAAGTTATTCTGAAGAATCATTAATGCAAATTGAGTACAAAAACGTCGTTAAAAATATGAATTAAATCGTAAGCATATAGTAAGAAAAGTCTCAACAGTAATATTGAAATCGGTATACATTAAAGGTTTTTCAGCCAGCAACTATTTTTCAATCAGTGTTATAGTCTTATTATACGTTTAACAGTTGGGTGCTCACATTTGCCAAATGTATTAAATTGCGTAGATAAGACAATTACTCATCCATCAATTTCTGCACAGTGAAGGTCCCTGCGCGTCTTGAACGAGATTTTTCAACCAAGACGAAGAAACGTTTGCATCTGACCAAATCGCGATCTCGCCAAGCCACCCACGTTCGCAAGGGCGTCGTCAAAGTGTCGAAGTCTCCGTCATCGGTCCCGACGTCCATCGCCGCCACCACGCCCTCCCAAGACGACGACCGGCGCTGCATCCCCGAGTCGCGCATGTACCTGGAGCTGGCGCAGAAGTTGCTGATCATGCAGCCGACGCAGTCCGATCTCTCCTCGTCCGCAATGGAGGCCAAATCGTCGTCCGAAGTGTCGTCGCGCACGGCGATCGGGCTTCCGTCCCAAGCGTCGCTCCCGGAACCGAACCTCGTCCCGTCGGTTGACTCGCGGCGCGTGTCGCCCCAGCAGTCGTCGTCAGAGTCCTCCCCCGCGGCGTTTGTGTCGTGCGACGGGTCCGCCGGGTCTTCGAAGCAGGTGCTGCCGACACCGAGGGCCCCGCCCAAGCTTTGGTGAGCCTGAATTCGTGAGCTGGTGAAGAGAATAGATATCGTTTTAACGGCCATTTTCATTCATCAGATTTACAGCTCTCTGTTGCTTAAGGTAGACACGCTCAGGCGGACAATGCTTGATGAATATGCCCATCTCCACTTGAAAATATTCAGCGATTCTTTAATTGAAAAAAATAATCATGTAACAGGTGCTTTACAAGCGTGGTAAGTCATTCTAGTCATCATCCTTTTGCTCGTAGAAGCCAATCTTTCCCCATGGGAAACGCTTGGAAGGCAAAAGATCAATTGGACGAATATCCCCGTGATTTGGTTTCAAGCAATTATCCGATTGTCACTATGTGGATAGTGGATCTCTGATACTCTCATAGACCTTCCATTTTCTACGTAAATATAAGTTCATTTATTCTATCTACTGACTCACAATTAAATCCAACAGACATTCCTTAGAATGCTAATTCAATTGTATTTATTCATTTTCCTTACTTTCAGTTATCTACTTTTCCTATTGTTGTCTCTTTATTTACTTTCCTCTATTTTTAATTATTCTGCAGTTTGAAGGATCATTCTAGAGGTCGGGTGCTCTACTCGGTAATTTTCCGTGGTTTCTCCGTTCAACACCAGGCGAATGTCGGAGATGTACCCTAACAAACGGGCCAAGGACTGCGTGCGATCGGTCTTTCTTGTTACTTGCCATATCCTAATCCCTTGCATACACACACGTACACTTAAATGCACACCACTACCACACATGCCGGAAGTTTAGATTTTGTAACGGTTGGGGCGGTGCCCGAGCTGATAGAAGATACCTGATTGGGAAAAACGTCGCAAGTCGGCGAGTAGGTCGGCACTGCATTTCAGCACTCTGCCGGGAATTATTATCGCCCCCTCCTCTATTGGACTAGATGTAGATGTACGGGATTATGACCACAGCAATATATTGATTGACTGATGAGAGATCCCGGGCGCATCAACTGGTAAGGTCATTATTTCCGTACGTCTGGTACACGTTTCATCGCGGGAGATAACGGTGATCTTCTCCCGCTGAATGGAGAGATCCGGCGACGACCTACATCGGTTTTCGAGCCACATATCTCTCACCCGCGTGGTATAGTCCCAACCGGGACAAGCTCTAAGCTTCCTATTGGTCTCCCTACAAATAGAGTAGTGCGTGTGTAAATTATGGACGAGGATTGGATGAGGAAGAGAAAGAAAAGATCGCGCGCGGTACGTGGCCCTTTGGTTTAGGTCCTGTTCCAGCATTCGCCTGTTGTTGATTGAAGAAAGCGAGTAGACGGTTTCTCCAATCGGAAAACCACCGATCAGAGTAGCCGCTCGCTATAGTTCTCCTGACAGCGGCAGAATTCGACGTAGCTGACCAGCTAGTGTCGACAATCCTGCCACCGTCAGGACTCGAACCATAGGACCTCCCGGTCAGAGGCACTGCAGTGACATCAGTGGATGCACTGAGCCATGAGCCACCTTTGACGGAACCCACCATAGCAATAGAAAACACGAAATAATGGATCAATCTGTTGGCGTTGTCAGCGAGCTGCGGCGCTACGTTGCCTGCCTGCGGCCGCGCCGGCGGCGCCACCGGTCGCTGGCACGGGCGCTGGCCTCCATCTTGCGCCTGGCCGCCGAGCGCGCCCCCACGGCCCACCCGCGCCGCAGGCAGCCGCGGGAGCGCAGCCGGCGCCGCGAGCGGGAGCGGGAGCGGGAGCGGGAGCGAGTGCGGGAGCGAGAGCGGGAGCGAGAGCGGGAGCGCGAACGGCGAGGTCTCTCGCATACCGGCCGCAAACGAGCTTATTTCCAAAGCTTTTTTTAAAATTATTTATTTACACGACTGTAGTACTTGTAACAAGTGTTCGATCTAACAATATAAATACTAACAGATTTTTTTTCATACACTTGGACATCGTTTGAGCTCACTAAAGTTCATTTAAGAAAATAAATCACTTTATAGAAACTCAATAGGTTTCTTCCGATGTGACGTATTTCTGATCGACTATTTCTAAAGTGACGTATCGTCATGAAGCACAGTTTTTCAGGAAAGTACTCACATTCGTTTCGAGTTAATTGATTTTCGGATGCTGTCTGAAGAGTGCGGAATGCAAGTTTTAAACATAATATTTGATAGCATGGGAAAGAAACTTAGTGAGAATAAATAGAAAAATAAATATAAAATAACAAAAGGAAATTGAGATACGATACACACTTCAGTAATCGATAGGTTACTTGAAAAGATACATTTTTTAGGAAATGTAATTTTGAAGTTAAATTATGGGATATAATTGAGACTCTCTTTCATATATTTCACTGAAAAAAGTTTCAGCGTTTTCTCAGTAGTTACTACAAACACACAACACAAACAATCAAAGGAACATTACAGTATTTGTATATTGCTTAATTCAAGTTTACAAGATTAGTATATTAAACAAATCATGCTAAAGGCGACGTATCATAAAATAACAATAATAAATGAAAAAAATAATGTGAACATATTCTAAAGAAAATTACAATTTATTTAATCGAATTAAAATTTTTTTCACATTCTGAGGCAAAGTCTCCAGCACTGTTGCAGGCAATTCGTTCCAATTTTGTATTGTTCTGTTTACAAACGATAATTTACATACATCTGTTCTCTGTTTTCTTTTCCAAATTTTAGAACCATTATTCTTCCACGCGCCGTATGTAGGTTTTGATAATCTTGCCCGCACTTCTTCCTCTCTACAGGCGAACACCTCGAACTGATTTGAATAATGCACAAAGATGCGATTTCTTTCTGCGGTTTTACAAAGGTTTCCACGATACAAATTCAGAATTAGAACGTCCTCTCCTCGCAAGTTTTTCAATTTCAGCCGTACTAGAGCTATGTACCCTAATTCACTAGATTTTACACTTCGTTTCCTAACCACTCTAATCACGAAGTGTAATGTCTTACACCCCTTTTTCACTACACATTTTACATGCTCTACCCGTACCAGATCCTCATTTAGTACAATTCACAAATAGTTACAGCATTTAACCCTCGAAATATACTGATTTCCCATTTCCTATTAATATGTGATGTCATCAGTCTTTCTAGAGAGCGTGAATCTAATAAACTTGCACTTACTGGCATTTAATTTCATTTCATTTGTGGTAGCCCATGATTCTAGCCTATCTAAATCACCCTCGGTATTTCTTTATCTCTTCTGTCCTTAATTTCCCGATATATTACACAGTCATCTGCAAAAAGGCGTATTTTTTACTCAATTCCCGACCAAATATCATTAATATATGCTACAAATAACAACGGACCTAGGTCACTTCCCTGTGACCCAAACCTTTCACTGAATGAGGAACACTAATGTTACCTTTCTTATTTATCTAAGAATCAGTAGTTTTTGTCTTAAGTACGAGAACATAAAGTAGTTTTTGTGCCACACCAAAGTTTGTATTTACAACACAAGTCGTTACAAAATTTTCATCAGGAATTCGCATCAACAGATAACTTCCGATCTGCATACAATAATTGTGTGGCAACTCCTTACCAGACGACATAAATAATTAACAGGGATGAACAAGTATACTGACCACCAATAAAGAAATATAATATTTATTTCAGTGACCATATTTATATAGCAATTGTCATTTGTACTGATTGGCACTGTATAATACTAAATATTCCTGTAACAAATTTTCGATTTCAGCTTTTGTGCCAATGACCCTATCTCGCTCAGGCTTTTCGAACAATTTTCCTTTATTCATTGCACAAATGCTGAGATCGCGCCTCGTTTTTCTTCTGAACAAGTAGCTTCAGTGTGCGCACGTTGCAGTTTTCTTTCGGTAGTTAAGGTAGAAAGAGAGCCGGAGACTTTTGTTATAAATACTGTAAAATAAAATCTTTAGTACGTTTACCAAAGCAAATAAATTTACAACTCCTTGGGAGTGAAAATGTATAGTATTTAAATGTTGCAAACCACGCTTTTATGGTTATTTTTTCGTCACTCAACTACGTTTGGAAAGAGTGTGATGTAGGCATTCTGGAGCCTACAAAAAAGTGCGCAAATCCTTTTTGTTCCCTATATGTTATCTCTGATTTAAACATCGTGTCTCTTAAAGGTCACGAATTGCCAGGAGAGGGGAACACTTTCATCGAATCCAATCAGGAGCTTCGTATATGACTTACATTTTTGGTATTGGAGCTCCTGATTGGATAACAATGTCACCCACCTCTTCCAGCTCGTGACCTTCAAGTGCCAACACGTTTAAATCAGAGTATGGGCACAGTTTAAAAAAGCAGCAATGATACAGACAATGACCGGCGGCGCCGGCGGCACCGGAGTGCGGAAATCTCGAGCAGCAGCAGTAGCAGCAGCAGCAGCAGCAGCAGCGTCGGCAGTTTCTCCGCCTCGGAGGGCAGGGGCGGCGCCGTGACGGGCGTGAGCGGGATGGGCGACAGCAGCAGCAGCGGCGGCGCCGTGCTGGAGGTGGAGCTGACGGGGTCGGAGGCGTCCGGTGGGCCCGGCCTCCGCCTCACCTTCCACACCACCACGCCCACGCCCTCGCAGATGAGCGCCTCCAACTCCTTCAAGTTCCTCGTGGAGAACGGCGGCGCCGTGCGCGTGGGCGTCGACCCCTGCGGCGCCGCCAGCTTCTCGCGCAGCGATCTGCCGCCTGGTGCGCCCCCTCCCATTCTTGTCTGTCAGCCCGCCCGCCCATCCGCCCTCCCTCTCTCTGTCTGCCTCTCCTTGCTGAATTCCTCTTGTTCTTCTCCTTCCTCTTCTTCTTCTTTTTTATTCTCCTTCGTCTTTTTCTTCTCCTTCTTGTACTTCTCCTTCTTTTCGTTTTACTTCTTATCGTTCTTCTTTTCTTTCTTCTCCAGCTTATCCATGTATTTCTCCTTCCTTCCTTTCGTTTTTCTTCTTTTCGTTCTTCTCGTTCTGCCCTTACTCGTTCTTTACTTTCGTGTTTCCCTCTTGCTTCTCATTAATTTTTAATAATTTTATGTATTGTTATTTTTCTAGAAGCCCTCCACTTTCTTTTCTTTCTTCTTCTTTGTATACTTGTTTTAAGACTTCATCTGTTCCTTGCGCCTCTCCCATCTCCTCTTGTTTCTCTTAGGCTTCAGTCAACGGTTGTTTCTCAAGCACATCATCATTCCTTATATCTCTTCTTTGGTCTGTTCAGGCAAGTACGGATTTATCCAGAATATTGTCTCTGACAATTTCTATAATAACTATCCTATAATAACCTTTCCTCGATTCTGAACCTGCCCATATAATTTGATTTCTTTTCTTTCATCCTTTCCGTTTTGAATGCCGCATTGTTGTCGTATTTTCAGCATTATGCTTATCATTGAAAAAAAACATCAATAGCATGTAACAACGTTATCGTAGTTGAAATGAAATATGAAAAACTAAATATTCCATTGAATTGATTCCTAATTAAATAAATGTGTGTGCAGTTACATTAACATTGTTGCACATTGCTAAAGCAATCTGAATATGTTTGGGCCGTATTTCTCGAATACTGTGCATGCAGCGTACAGGAAACTGTTAGCTGCAAACAATTTTATCAGTGTATCTATTTATATTTTCCTTTCTATTTATGTCTGCATTTCATCTCGGCAATTAATACCATTCTTCGTAAAGGTTCGTTCGAATTTTAAACCATTTTCCTAGTATGGGAGTCACCCAACAAATGAAATTCATTACCCATAGCTTATCAGTTTGTCAACAAAACCATCGAGAGTAGGGAGTTTTAGGGAATTTACAAGCCCCAAACTGCTTGACTGTCTATCATGTTCCATGAAAGATACACGATAGTATTAATGGAATGTTCAATTTTCTACTTCTTTATCTCGAATCTGGAGATTCCTAAACTAAACCAGGGAGTCACAAATATCTACAGTCTAGAAAAACAAAACACATGGGACTTTATTCTAACGGGGAACGTAAAAAATTATTTTTACGTTCTTCATTAATACGTTTGGGAATAATCGTAGAGAGATGTATGAGTAGACATGTGCCCCTTGAAAATATGTGACATTTAGAAATTGCGCGCTGCTCCTAGGGCAAGTCCTCTGGCAAGAGACCTGTGAATCCTGCTGTCGCCAAACTGCTCGCAGCTCCGAAATCTGCTCCATCTCGCACGCATCCGATAAGAAAACCAGCAGGACATCGGAGAGCACGTGCGATTGCTCCTCGCGCTGTATCAGCGAGGCCACCACCGCCACAGACTGCACCTCGGAGACCGTCATCAGGATAGCGGAGCCGAAGTGCCTTTTAGGTTTAGCGGCCGAAAGGGCGACGGACGTTGCGGTCCAAGTTGACGTAAATTTGACTCACTCACTTTTATGTTTTTACCAAGAAAATGACGATCCGATCACTCGTCGGCGCAGAAGAAAAGTGGCACGTCATCTTAAAAATTACTATTTTGTACGAGTAAGGGTTCAAACTGAGTGGAGCCATATGCACACTTTCTTACTTTCTTTATACAGCTTGTCGTGTGAGCCATCTTAATGAAATGTTTACTAGCAAAAAGTTTAATTAAAAAATTGTTCTTTACCCAACTAAGAAGATGCTATTAAAAGTCTCAGTTTTCTTGTGCACCGACGAAAGGTCCTTTTTCCGAAATTTTTGAGTTTTTGAACAATCTCAAGACTTTATAAATATAATTTTACCTGGTAATGAATCAATACTTTCGTATCATTATCATTATCATTATTATCATTATCATTATTATATATGCATTTACATATGCACATTATAAATAATTACGACTAATTACGTTGGAACAATTTATCTTTTACTCTTCACTATAAATGTGCTTTAGCTTGTTCTGGAATTTTGACCATAGAGAACATACATTTTCTATGGTTGTATTTCACCTTATCTCTTTTTTTCTACCTTAGCCATTGAATTTGTAAATTGTACTTTCGAAACATTACAAATTACTATCTCTAGGGATTGATTAAGTTCACTGCAGATAAACAAGTAGATTGTATTCAAGTAGAAATTAGTATAATAAAATATGGTGAATACCGAGGGGCTGTTATCATTTACAGACTGATGCAAAGGAACTAACCGTGGAGAATAAGTTATCGGACCCGACGGTAGAGCAGAGAGCTCAAGCAGTTATGGACGACCTCCTCAAGATGAGAACGATAGTGAGCAATGAGATCCATGCAGAGGCAAGAGACGATTTCCACATACCCAACAGAACACTTTCAACAGAACACGTAGAGAGCCCGCAAGAGCAGCAGTCGCTGTTGGGGTCCGTCGTGGAGGAAGTGGAGACGGCGTCGGACGCGGACACGTTGACTGCAGTTGAGCAGGAAGAAGTCGAAGCCGCGAGCGCGACCGCGGACGCTTCTCTGGAGGCACACGCGGGCGACAGCGTCGAGACGATGGCAGATATCTCCGAAATCGAGGTATTTGAAATTGTTGGAGAAATTTAATTAATAAGAATTGCAATTGTTAATTGGTTGTAAAATAACTGTAGGCGTTAAAATTGAAATAGAATTCGAACCTATTTGTAAAACTGTAATCGGTGATTTTTAATTATTTTTAATGAAATTAGCCCGTCAAAGAACAGGTTATTTCTTTCCCCACAATTGTTACACTGCAGGCGTGCGTCATCGACCTGCAGCACAGCAAGGAGTCAAAAGCGGCGACGTTGGTGGAGGAAGGACCTCGCGCACCGGAAAACAAGGAGACCGATTCCGGTGCGGGATGCGGGACCGATCTGGCCAAGGGCGCGGGGGTGGCGGTGGCAACGTCGGCGGCGGCGGCGGGGGCGGCGGAGGAGGCGGCGGGAGTCAAAGGAAGCTGCGAACACGAAACCGACGTGGAGGTGGAGATCCAGGCGCAAGACGTGGACGCGGGCAGCCGGTCCCTGTTAGACTCGCAGGGGAGTGCACAAGTCCCGCAGGTAGGAGGGCAAGGGCAGTGTAGCGTCGGAGCACAAGAAAAGCGATTTGATTTCATTTGATTTATATTTGTCTCAAAAATGTAGGGCAGTATGTGACGTATGGAGGAGAAGTACAATCTTAGCACGTTTGCTTGAGCTCTAGAATCTCTCCCCTACCTGTCAGCCACATTTTAATCATAAATGGTTGAATGACGAATAAATGTATCAACCAAGCCAGGTTTTAGCAAAACTTGAAAAAAAAATACTCCCAAGTTACAAAAAACTTATTTGAATCTGTAAACGAACTACAGATTTGATTTTTTAGTACTGCTAAAAGAATAGCCACCAGGGAACCTGATCGAAATTCAATAGCCCAGAAGCTGAAGAACAATACGTGTTGCAGATATTTTAGTATTTTTTAATATGTTCAATACAAATGTATACTAATACCTTACATATCATTATTAAAATAAATATTATATTTCGCTATACATTAATTTTCTTAAGCCGTTTGTGATGGAAATTGTGGTTTTCAATTTGCGTTTTTGCTGCATTGCTACAAATTAGTCAAGCCACGCTTTATTTAGACTGATTATTTGTGTTCAATGACACCACCACCTGTGAGTCCACCCACTCCGCCGTCGCTTTTCCCCTCGCGGCTATCGCTTGCGGTCTGACAACTTCACTCTGTCGGCTGGAGTCCCTAGTTGGGTCCAGTGTTGGGCTCTCGAAGTGCATCCGATCGCACGGACGATTGCTATTGCTACGCGGAGCAAAGGAGAGCGCGAGCGACGTCAGAATGACGAAGTCGAACAATTTCATCTACTTACATCTGGCATTCTTTAGCGAGAAAAATGTCACATTTATAAATTCTAAACATTATTTCAATATAACAGAAATAAGTAAATCCCATATGTCCCTCATTATTGTTCAATGTCGTTCCAGTCTAATTTCTTTAATATTTTATTGTTTCTTCTTATTTCTGAATGATTTATGGGAATCAGCAAACTTCAATTAATTATTCACTTTTCGAGAAAATATTTTTCATTTGTTATGCTGTTGCTAATGAAATGCCTTATGTGTCCAAGTTATACTTTATGCGTTCATTATCGTGCTGCAGTACAATTTTAGCCTCTTCTGTGGACAACGTATGAAATGAAGGGCTTCAAACACCTCCTAATTGTCATATTGTCAACATAAAGTATTTCCTAATTTCAAAACTACGGGGATTTTGCAAGAATGCTGTGCATGATCCATAACAGATTCTTCACATCGCGAAGTTATTACGAAAGTCATTTTGAATCAATCTGAATACTTTTCTTTACTTATCAAAATACATTGAATGAGATATTCTCCTTTTCTTGTGAACCAACGTTCAGTTTCTAAATACTTATGTTTTCCTTGTAATATACTTGTATATCAACACTGAGAATATGTTTCGCTATTGTGTAAAATAGGGGAAGGCATTGTTCCTTTGACCACTTTTTCTACTATAATTTTTTTCTCCTTTCGTTTTATAATTATTAACTTGTTTATGATTTTAAAATAAGAAACTAAATATTGTCTATAAAATAATATTTTCTCAAAATCTTAAATTAATTTTAATCGTGATTGAAATTAATTTTTGAAAGAAAAAAGTCAAAAATGCAACACTATGTTGTACCTCTCACCAGGGGTAGTTGTACCCTTGACCACATCACACAAATTGTAATAATCTGTCAACTGGAACTCATTTTATTAATTAAAATATTTTTTATCAACGTAATATGCATGTATGACTCACACCAGCAATACAGATTAAAGAAACTGTGAAAAAAAGACTATTCAGAACAAAGCACATGAAAATTCAAAACGTGCAAATCTGAGGTTAACTTTAAAATAATTCTAGTTTAAAAAAATTATCATGCTCTCATATATAATAAAATAAAAGCCTACCGAGTAATTCAGAATAAAAAATCAGCTATTCCACATTGTAACGAGACAGATCTAAGATATAAATCTATAAATAAATAAATTTATAAATAAATATATATGAAAAATATTAAATAAATAAGTAATACTAAGATCAGTTTCACCTTTGTCTGGTCAAAGATACAAGAAACAGTAAATGTCAGTCAAGCATGTTGAAGTTAATGTTAATTTTTTTGGAAATAGTAAATTGCATATTTCATCTCGAATATCTGTCTTATATTTTAGTAGTTTTCACTATGAAATTGAATAAATATAATTATGTTATGACATTAAATAATCCGAACAAATACTTACTTTTGACTGTGGCGAACAGATTTCTTTTTTATACACAAAACTAATGAGGCTTTTCAAATACTGACAAGACTTACAGCAGTTCTGGGGAGAAGAGTATAAACTAGGAATACCAACTTCTGAAATTTTTCAGTAATACGCATTCTGACAAAGGGTGGTTAAAGGTAGAATACATTCCCCTACACATTAAATGCACCTGCATATAAATAAAATCTGTTCAATGATCTTCAGGTGGAGAGCTCCTCAAAGCCGAACGTGGAAGTAAAGACCTCGCAGGTAAGGTCGGAAACCATATAACAAATGTTCTTAAATATCAGTACTTTTATTTTAATACACCCTTTTGATATTAGAAAAATATTTCTACATGGTGTAACATTCTTTCGTACGCACCTAAATATAATTAACACATGTTCAAGGACGTCCAGGTGGAGACCCCCTCACAGATGAAAGCGGAAGTGAAGGCCTCACAGGTAAGGTCAATGGCACTACATTGAATTTTCCCGAATACTATTAAAGTAGTTGAATGTGGCGTTGCCGACACTGTAAACTGTTTTAAAAGTATTTTCATGTGTTGAAAATGCCTTTAATATTTTATTCTTTTATTTATTTATTTTTCATTTGTAGCTTTGTTCAAATATGTTCTTACCACATGGGATACTTCCATATGGGATATGAACTGGTAATATTACAATTTAAAAATTGTAATCGCCGTGAAAATATTTAAAGGTATCGATGCAAATAGTTAGAGTTTAGTACAACTACTTTTTTATGATTTTTGCAAATACAATAAGGCACAAAGATCATCTGTAAGCTGTTCTTCTGGGTTCTCCTCTAATCCATATATATAATCATTCTCAATTAGTTCCGAAAATTCTGTCTTCTTCTACACCTACATATGAATTTGTGAAAACCAGAACGTTATAAATTACATTTTTTAAATTCTAAAATAAACTGGTTTATTTTTGGCAATATTTCAGTGGCAATAAATTTTCGTTGTTTTAATGAACAATTAAAATGCCTTGAATTTAATTATGAAAAAAATATCACAACTTTACAATGATGTTGACTTAAATTCTCAGAATTTCACAGAATTTATGAAATATCACTTATACCGTTCTGGTTTTCACCCATTCATTTGATTCTTCCAGAAATTTCGTAAACACTTCCATATTTTACTCCCCTAATTTTTGAAGAGATTGAAAAACTTCACAAACCCAGTCGAATTTGTGTCCCCTTCCACTTCTGCAATTGAACTTTTAATCGATTTGAATACGAATCTATATAAACCATAAAAGGAGACCGTTTTGTAAATAAGGTGTTAGTTAAGTTTAGCAAGAATAAGTTCAGGGTCATATTCATTTGAAAACCGGTATTTGTACACTTACGAACGTGTAAGTGGGAAGACGAACATAAGAACATACATTCTTTCTCTAACATTACTTACAGTTTTGTCTTCCCCGTATTCACTAGAAATTCTTCATATTTAATAAGTTCCAACGCAATACTGTTCATAGGTTTTGTAATTTTTTAAAAATATGAAATCGATAGGTCAACGTGAAAAAATTAAAATGAAATATGCCGCGCGTTCACTTGTTCAAGTAAACTTCACGTGTTCAATTAAAGATGTCAACATCAGTGATGACGAAGGCGTGAAAGACAATTTTGGCGTCTTGAGCGAAGAAATGTCTTTTGGTATTGACGTTTCAATGCCGCCAAATTATACCTATTAAGGTGGCGTTGGTTTAATTCCCTGTACACTCGCTAAGATAGCAGCGCCAAAACAAGTAAACACACGTTTTTGAAAATGTCTTTGAATCGTCTGACCGGATACAAAAATAAATTATCAGTTACCCCATCAGGAAACCGAGACGTTTTGAACGTCACCTCATATGATTGATTGATTGACTGTTAGAGATTGCGGGCGCAGACTAGGGTCATTAGTCCCGTAACTGTAGTGTATGTTTATTCCTCGGGAAGTGGCGGGGGTCTAGCCCCACTTACGGCGAGATCCGGCGCAGGCTACCGTCGGCTATCGGGCTTTTCCTCAACCAGGTATCTCTCCCCAGCTGGCCACCATCCTAATCGGGACAAACTCTAAGCTTCCGACCGGTCTCCCGGAATGTTTGGTAGTGTAGTGTAAGTTAGTGCAAGTGTGTGTAAGTAAGTGTTTTGAGGATAGGACAAGGAAGAGGAAGAAAAGATCGCGCGCTATCCTTCGCCCGTTTGTTGGGGGTACTGTTCCGGCATTTGCCTAGTGTTGATCGAAGAAACCACGGAAATCTATCGATCAGAGCAGCCGACCGCGTCAATTCTCTTTCAGACAGAAACTGAATTCGACCTAGCTGACAAGTTAGTGTCGAAAATCCTGCCACCGCACCGTCGGGATTCGATCCTAGGACTTCCCGATCAAACGGACTGTTGTGTCATCAGTTGATATCCTGAGCCACCTCTCCCACTGACACCTCATATGTCTTGAATGGTGGGCGGGAAGTGTTCTGACCGTGAGTGACGGAAACGCACATTCACAGACTCTGTATTTACTCAAATACTATATAGGGATTTGATATCGTAGTCAGAAGCAGTCAGTTTATAAGGATTTATTTCAATATTTCCATACACTGATATAGAAAATATGTTTAGATACGTTACTATATATGTATATTGATGTAAATTATAAGACTTCAATTTGTAATGCTGAATAAGTTTCATTTGATTCTTTGCAAAAACAAACGGCATTAAATTAATTATCAGAAATATTTAGTTCTGCTTACCTAACCTCGATACTATTTAGTCTTTAAATATCAGTCTTGCGTGTAATTAACTTATTTCTTTTTCACTTTCACTCGCTACTACTAATTATTTTCGATATCTAGATGAGCCGAAATATTGCATGTACGCCGAATTTCAATATATTGTAAAAATGAAAGGAACCTCGCATTTTGAATTTATTATTTTATTATTTCCCTTTTCGAGGCAGTTGACGGTTTACGTTTTTTTAAATGTACAATTGTCTTTGCTTCGCTCTCACAAGAACACATTTTTAAGACACATATTTTAAGTTTTTCTAGCTGTGCCAGCTGTGAACTTCGAACGGCCCACAGCGGACTCGGAATAGCGGCCGGCGCTTGTGTTCGCCTTGCATTCGTTGAGTTAGTGTGTGGGCCAATGTCTTCATTCTTTGAGACCCAGCTCTTCACAGTGCTCAAACTTCCCACACACCCACTCCCGAGGGGGGGGGCTCGGTACGAGGCGGCTGCTTGCAAGGGACTATTTATTGGCGCACTCCCTGGCTGGCTTGTATAATGCGTTGCCGAGATATCCGTATGATATGATATGCTCACAGCTCTATTTCGTGACATGGTAGTGACAGTATCTCATACGCCCAAACATAAAACATACCTGAGACATGTCCTTGCTACATATTTGCCCTCCAGTGTCAGCATAGATAGATGCCGTATCACATTCATACCGATTCACAGAGTGTTTTCTAAGTGAAACCAACAAGGCTTGTATAGCCCAATCAATTGTCAAAAATTGGTGTTCCCAGGAAAATATTCCCGGTGTTTGCAAACTTGGCAAAATCGTTTGTAACTATCTACAGCACATTATATAAAAAGCCCGAGGGTGAAATGCAGTTTAAATGTGTTGTTTCACGTTTTTTGCATATGGCTCCGTAACTGTCAATCCTACCAAAAATTATCTTGTACACAACTTCAAAGTAGACAAATTTTTCTATGGAAATGTACTTTAAGGTTTTATCGTAAAATAACTCTTTCAAAGTAATAAGTTGGAAATATTCTTGCTTGTATTTACAAGGCACTTTCTTAGACACCTCCATTACAAAATTGATGGTACAGTATGTTTGTAAATCTTGTTTGGTACATACGAGTATCCGAGGTTATTGAAATAAAAATTTTTCAGGAACGAAAACTGATAACCCATAGTTTATTTTTTTGGATCGAGTACAAATATTTGATAAATGATACGTATAAACAATCATGCCTAGTCTCAAAACTCCGAGATATATACACTCGAATTGTCTAATTTAAGTGGGTCAATATGGGTGGCATTCCATGCACTTCTTGCAACAGGTAGGCGCAGCAGTGGCGGTGGCGTCGGCTACTTACACACACTTACACTTACATGCACTACACTACCACACGTACCGGGAGTCCAGTCGGTAGCTTAGAGTTCGTTTCGGCTGGAGTGGTGCCACGCCGGCAGAGCTACCCGGTTGGGGAAAACCCAGCAAGCTGACATGTAGGTTGATGCCGAATCTCAGCATCCAGCTGTGGAAGATGCCACCTCCAGAGTTGAAAAAGCAGGTACTAGTGCCTTTAGCAGTCGGCGCGCCCGGAATCGCTAATCAATGGCGCGTGCCGTGGGCCAGTCGCAGCCGGCGTCGGCGGGGGCCGCGGGGCAGAGCCAGGGGCAGTGCGAGGCGCCGCCGTCGGCGCTGGCGTCGCGCGCGCGGGCGCTGGGCAAGATCCTGCCGGGGGTGGTCGCGTGGCGCTGCGAGGGCCGCTCCGCGGGCCACCTGCAGATCTCCAAGTGGAACATCACCGAGGACGGCCAGCTCGTGCTCACCTGCCCCAAAGTCGCCATCACCAAGCGGGACAGTCACTCCTCGCAGGTGGGGAACGGGTTTTGTTGTGTACCGAATGGCGTGAAACGGATTGGTTTTTCTTTGCAACCCCGGAATCGGACACCGGCTGAATTAGCATTGGCGTGTGCTCCCTGCAGTGACTCTAACCGTAAGGTCCTAAAGGCCGCTCCATAATAGTCCGAGAATGGGAACGGCATCGTGGACGGGAACGTAAAGGAAGTTAAAAGGACACCTTTCACAACACGACGGAAACGCGTGTCTTGACGGGAACGTGAATCTTTGGGAACAGGAGGCCTTTCAACCAATGAAATTGTATCAAATGGCGGCGATGTTTTCCAGCTGACCGAGCAAGCGAACTCCGTGCGACCCTGGTCTGGAGCGGAGTTAAGAGTGTAGAGCGATATTGATGTTAGAGCGTGGACTTGCGATGTTACGATTTAAGGAGGGCTTTTTTTAATCAATAATAAATTGTTTTAGTAGAGTTAATTATTTTTCTATTCATACTTTCCTCATACTTATAATTAAAATACCTCTCCCCAATATTTTATATATTTGAAAGTACATTGGAGTTGTTTGATTTTTGATAAAATTTTAATTGTATTTTCGGTAAGTTCATAGAAGTTTTAGAACTTTTATTTCTTTTTAATTTTGTTTTTTCTATATCAACTATGCATTTTCGTAGCACTACACGCAAACACACCAGACAGATGTCAAATTGAAGAGTGATCAGAGCAGCGAAGCTAGAAGTGCATTTTTTTCCCGCAACTGTTTCTTGAAGTTCTCATTTTTTGCCGCTTTTGGTGCTTAGCGCTAGTTTTGTTCCCTACGCGTTTATTGCGAAGTGCACTATCTCGGGTTCTCGTTCTTCAGATTTACGTTGCCATTCCAGTTCGCGGACTATTGTGGAGTGCGATATTGAGGTTAGAGCGTGCAGATCTAACTTGAGGGGCGAGTCCCGACACTGGCGGATAGTCGACATTACCTATAGACCTAGGGATAACAACATTCAGCCGCTGTCGGGAGGAGAATTCTAGCAGATGGCTGGCCTGATCGATAGTTTTCCGTGGTATCTCCGTTCAACACTAGGCGAAATGCAGGCCAAGCAAATGATGCAAGAGAAAAAGGAACGGTTGGGTTCGAACAGCGAATAGCTACTGTGATTTCTTAGTGCAGATCTGCGCGAAGAAAGTATGTTCTTGGGGTCGTTAGCATTTGAAACCTATTTCACATCGATCCTAAAAACCTTTTTTAATAATGTACCGTAAAGTGTCGCAATGATATAATCAAACTAGATATGCTACAACAGCACGTATGTTCTTGAAAAATTACGCGAAAAGTACTCAAATTTTCAAAAATTTGTACATGGCCTTTTTCCAAAAACTTTCTTCAGGACATAGATTTCATGAAGGTATAAATTTATGTCTTATATATTTTAGTTGTACGTAAGACTCCGAAAAATATTTGAACTTTTTCAATTTTTGAAAGACCTGCACCATTCTCTGTAACGCCTTTTACCTTACCCAACAAAAAATAAACAAAAAACAATGGATTTATTTATTTAGATATTGAAAAATTCTCATGTAAAGTACTTCTCAAATTAAAATATCGGTTAGAAATTCAAAGAGCTACGACATCATCATCTCTCGGGAAAAATCAATTTTGGAGAAAATCGACTGAACGTTTAGCCGCTAACGTTGTTCACAGACGGACGGACAGACAAAAAGACAGACTGACATGTTGTGCCGTCATTAGAGTTTTGGATATTAAGAACCCACAGAACTTGGATTCTGACTACACCACATGTTAGAGGATATTTTTTCCAAAATTTAGCATTTTGTTTATTCAAATTTTTTGTAACCGGGGCTCCATAATACGATTTTTTCTGCAGAAAACACGCCCCTTTTTCGCCAAGTATTACATGACTTGCTCTCGACTCCGTAGCGAGAAAGTAAAATCTATATTTTGAACATAAAATTTTGATTATCGAAGTAAAAGTCATCTACAATTTAAATCTCATTACCAGCATATCGTACATTACATGCTTCCCCTTCGATCTAGAAATATTCTTAAGAGAAAAAACTTACCCCATTGTCTGGAGAGATGGCGTGCTTTCTACGTTGCAAACCACCGGCCGCTATAGCTCTTCACCCCTCTTCTGTTCTTAGCAACTTCCACACCTCTGCAGGCGCCTATTACTTCCCGCGGCTCACAGCTCGGATATCCCCCCAATGGAATCTTCTGAATGAAGTTTCAAAATAAAGCATTTGAATTGGATAAAGAAATTATATATGGCCATTGAGAATGTCCAACAGGTTAAAGAGTATGAATATCTGGGATACGTCATAAGGAATAACGGGATACAAGAAGAATATGTAAAATAAATAAGAAAAGGTGGAATGGTTCTGAAACAGGTGTGTGGATAATCAAAAGTCACACTAACTGAATGAAGGGGGAAAATTGGTTATAGTTGTGGGGGGGGAGCGTTTTGATGTGAGGAGCAGAGACCTGGAGATGGCAGGAGAGAATAACGGTGGAAGGTTGTCAAGACAAATTCCTTAGTGTTCTTAATTGAAGAAAATAATGCTTTCGATTAGGAAGAAGTACTCCGGGATACATGGTGAATTCAGAGACAATTAGAGGGAGGGAGAGACTAGGATTAGCGTGACGAGATAAGAAGAGGTTCTAAATGAGAGAGGTGGAAGGGGTATACTGAGATGATTTTCGGAAGAAGCAAAAAAGGGACTAGAAAATGATGAGTGGGGAACGGATTCTGATGACCTAAAACATTGCAAAAAGTTATCAACAACCTTCTCTTAATACATTTTTACATTCTCAAAAAGCAAAGAAAAATGACGTAGAAAATTTTATCAAAGCCAGTTCTGAAGAACAATTCAAGTTGTTTGATATGTTAATGATGTAATCAATGCTTCTTCCTTTCGTTCAAGTGAACTCTATCTTCACAGAGTTGGTTTAGCCTGTTCTTTACCCCTTCCAAATCCTTAATTAATCTACAAATAATACAAATAATCTTCCATTTCTCACCTCAACAAAAAACATTTTTTGTAGTTGTTGTGATTTTAACACCTGAGTATCACACTCACTAAACTTTGGAAATTTTTTCAAGAATTATGAACACGTATTCCCAACTCTGTAGGACCACCTGGTCGAGCAGATAGAATTTTTTAAGTTCTTTATCAGACAATTTCTGTCTTTAATTATCGTAAAATGTGCCGAATATACAATGGTGTTGATAGGAATCACAGGAATCTTAGGTTACATAAAACAGCTGACATTACAATTTCAGAGTGAAGAAATCGAATAGACTACTCTCAAATGTTGTGGAGACCATTTGTTGCATCTCGTAATTATTATTTGAGGCAAGTACAATTTAAACGATATTAAAATCTATTAAATCAGCAAAAACGATCAAGAAATTACGCCAAAATATACAAAAATGACCTATTATTTGAAATCCACGAAAAATGCAAACAAATGTGGTATAAAAATGGGTAATTTTCTTGTGTTGTAATAAACAATTACTGCCATTACTAAAATGCATTGCTTTAAAGAGAAAAGAAACTCATGGTGGTACAGAATTTACTTTCGCGTATTAGTTTTCTATTTTCTTTCGTCTCGGCTAGCAAATCGATATTAAAGAACAGTTAAACGTCTTCCTAAATGGCAATTTTTATTGAAAAATTTGCAGCTCTTTTCAAGAAAATGGCGTTTAAGCGTTACTGTAAATTCGACATTTGAAGCTCTCTTTCACAGAAAACAACAGTTTCCGAAAAACTTTTATAAAATATTTTCAATCACTTTGTCACAAATGCAATAGAATTCACAAACCGCTGGTGGTGCTTTCGAGAAACATTATATGGCGTTATTTAAAACACATTTACTAATCTATATTATAATGTGAACAAATAGCCACTAATATAAATGTTAACAACGGGACAGACAAAAAAATAAGTGTAAAAATACTATATTTTTATAATTTTTGAAAAAAAACAACAATAAAAGAATATAGCAATGTGGCGTTTATGTTATCTCATAAAATTCTTTTAGCACTATCCCTGCCAAAAGTTTAAAGAAAAATTTGGATCAGTTTTTGAGGAAATCGTGTTTTTAAAATTTTTAAAAATTGCAAATATTTTACGCAATATTGCGCTAAATTTACTTAAAGTTTCACAAATGTGTACCTGACCCTAATGAAAGAACTAATTATGGAGAACAAATTTCATTTTAAGAAAAAACCGGTATAATAAATTTTGCAGTTATAGGAAGACACTGAAAACAATGCTGTTGCAATCTTCGAAAATTAACCGTGAAAATCGGATCTATCCCACTTTTATACGTGTATGTTACTATATTTTTACAAGAAATTTAAAGACAAAATTTGTAGCAGTTTTTGCGAACATTTTGAAAATGTACGGAGTTTTTCATGTTTAGTACCCCCAAATTTTAAAGAATGATTATCAAAATCGCAAAGCTTTGACTCGATCCCGATGCTCACCAGTTTCTTCAATTTGAAAAAAATGCTTCGCATGGTTTAGGCCCTAGTAGTGTTTACTGACGGACAACGGACGTTTTATCGTCAATTGATTTTTCAGGGTCAAGGGCCTACAAAATAGGGATTCTGACTATACCACGTGCTAGACGACTCTTTTCTTAATTTAGCAACTAGATTTATCCAGATTTTCGTTATCAGAGCCCGACAATTTTTTTTCTACCGAAAATCCGCATTTTTTTCGCGCAGAATTACATAAGTTTCCGTGTACTAGGTATATTACTTAGTATATACGTATATTACGGGAAAGTAAAAATGACATTTCATTAAAATTCGACCCTAGTGATCAGTCCAGGAAGAATAAAAAGCCCAGTTTCTTTATAGAAAGAGTATGATCGAGAGAAGAGATAGAAATGCATGGAGAGGCAGGCTGGGATGTGAAGAATGTCTTAAGAGAAAGAGAGAGGTAGCTACAAAGGCAAAATATATTTGTGAAAATTAGTAAATTTAGATATAAGGGGATGTATAAAGAAATACCGGTAGGAAATACACGAAGATACTAATGAAATACGCAACGAAAACTCTATGACACAGCGAGTTTTAGATTACGTAATACACGAATTAGTGGGTCGTCTGGGAGAAAGGATATGTAGAATACGTGAGGGGAGGATAGAGACGCGGGAATATGTAATGGAAGATTACAGTTGGATGAGGAATGACAGGAAACAAGGGAGAGATGCTATAGATAGAAAGAAGGTAGGCCTAGTTAGAGAAGGGTGGGGAAAGGGAAAGGTGACAGAAATATATGATTGAAGAAAAGTGCAGGGAAGGATAGAATGTGGGAAATAAGGTTTACGAGACATGTTTTTTTAAATACGGTGTACAAAGTAAGGTTTCTGTATGTAACGTAGGTTACAGATTGTAAATAAAGAGGATAGGGTAGGGAACAGTAATGTGGCATGTGTTTATCAAAAGTGTTAACATAAGATTAGGTCAGGAAAACATTTAATAGGGAAGGGATATGCATTAATTTGTAATAAAAGTGTATAAAATAAGATTAAAATTATATTAAATATAATGAACAGAAAATTACTGTTTAATAAACAGTGGTTATTACAATCGAACTGTCTGAATTCCAATGGGCAAGAACAATGTAACTGATGTTCATTAACTGTTCTCGGATTCGTAGCTAACCTTATCTACAAAAAATGATATTCTTTTGAAATATTTTAGAGTGTAAAGGTACGTACAGATCCAGATATAAATATTTTTATATCAGTTTTGTAATACACATTTTTCCACAATCATTATCTCAGGATATGTTAATTTGCTTTACCGAAAAAAAGAACCGTTGGAGTATATCAGATCCATGACACTGTAACAAGGAAATTTGTTACAGTATCATGGATCTGGTATACTTCAATGGTCCTGTTTCGGTGTAGCTACTCTCTCAATCTGTGTAGCTACACCAGAGAATAGATACTACATAGAAAGGAAAGCTACTCACAATCCGTATACCGATATGATGCGCATGGTCGCCATATTGAGAGTGTGTAAACTGCTGTACGGCCCGTTGTACTGCCCGTACGGCATTTGTTGTATGGTGAACGGTGGTGAATGTGTTTCCGTTTTACTCGTTATATTTGGTGTGTGTATGTATGTATAACTGACAAAAACATAAGTAACCCGATGGGACATTTTGTTAGTATAGGCAAATAATACATATAGTGCAAATAGGCAAATAATAAAAATAGAGATAACAAAGTAAATAATTATAAATACATAACTAGTAGTGCACAGAATGTTACAGAATGTTTCGTATTAGTTTTCTATTTTATTTGGTCTGTGCTACTTTATCGGACTTGCTACATATTTAGCCAGGTGCCACCTATCTCCCAAAGCACATTTTTTTTAAATTTTCTCTATTCTTCAGTTTCCTAAAGATAGAACGAAAATATTACTTTAAGAATATAAAATCAGAATGAACCCTCGTTCTAAATGACAGTTTTTATTTCAAAATTTGGAGCCGATTAAAAAATATATATCGTTCTAACGTTACTAAAAATGCGACATTGAAGCTCTTTATTACAGAAAAGTTTTGAGTTTTCGGAAAACTTTATTTGAAGTAATTTAAAGCACTTTAACTTACAAACGCAATTGTATTTACAAATCGCTGGAAATGTGCATATTAATGTGGTGGATGAAATTTAAAAACATTACAGTAGTATAATTTAAAAAACAAAATAATACACCAAATCTTTAAGTCAAATTAAACAGTGCAAATAGCACTCTCCGTTGAAAAAGTTAGAAGAAAAATTTGGAGCGTCTTGTGTTTCCTTTGAACAGTTTCAAGACGGCAGTTCACGCTGCGCGGAGGATCACTGAATATATAAGGAGCCGATCTTTACTTTCCTTTCTGTGCAGTAGCTATTCCGTGGCTACACCCTTAGAGTGTATAGCTACACTCAATATGTATAGCTACACTCTTAGTCTCACTAGCTACACGTTTAATCTGATGTGTGTACTTTCACTTTTATTCTTAGCTACACTCTTAATCATTGTAACTAAACACATAATCTCTGAAGGTAAAGCATAATCTGTGTATCTAAACATTTAATCTGTGTATCTAAACATTTAATCTGTGTATCTAAACATTTAATGGGTGTAGCTAAACATTTAATCTGTGTATTTATACTCATAATCTGTGTTGCTACACCAAATCTATACTATGTACAGGATTCGCAGTGCTCCGAAAAGCCTCTGGCGACACAAAACAAACGTAGCCAAGAATCTTCGGAAGCAAAGAAACCACCTGCAAATGCGTCCACCAATCGAGTGCAGCAGGCTCCACCGCAGAACAAAACCACGAACAACACCAACCGAGCGCAACAGCGGCCACCCGCCCAATCCGACTCTCAGAATGCGAATCGTGGGAAGCGGCGTGTTCAAACTGGGCCGGACAACTCTCGGTGCAACCAGCAACCTCAGCGCGCCAACGTGCAGAGCAAACAGTACGTGACTACCGGCAACCAGCGCACGCAACAGCCGGCAGCGGCAGGTGCGCAACGTAGGCAACAGTCCCCCGCTGCAGGTGCCCATGAAAGCCAACAGTCGCCGAGTGCGGGCGTCCAGCGAAAGGTACTGTCGCCTAGTCCAGGCGCCCCTCGGCGGCAGATTTCCCCGAGTGTAGGCAGTCACAGTAGACAGCAATCCCCAAGAGTGGGCGGTCAGCAAGCGGGAGCGTGCGTAAGGCGAACTCCTGGCAGTTACAGAGTCCATCAATATGGCCAGCGCGGGCGTAGGTCTCCCGCGACGAGGGGTAGAAAGCGTCCCCAGCAGCAACCGACGTCCTTCCGGCTGCGCTCCCAACAGCTCAACGAGCTCGGCATGTCGCACGCCAACCCCCGACACAAGCCCCTGCAGAAAGGGGCGTGGCGATCCCAAAACCCGTTGGCCGCCATGGCGCCCTCCGTGCGCCTTGAGCGACCCCAGTACACGCGACCACGTTGTTGTGAACGGTTAGTGATAAAGAAGCTGATAACGTCTAACCTAGTGGTAAGCAGTCCCACAATGGCTGAGACAAGTTTTGCTCTGAACCAGCCGAAAGATGATCCGATAATCCAGAGAACAGCAGATCCCTCTGGTAACGCTATCGCAGTAGCATCAAACAACGCCGGAAATATCTTGCAACCTATATCGACCACAACGTTTGTGGAGAAACCTTCAATCAAAGACACACAGATAATGCACCAGTCCAATACTTCTACATCTCAGCCCGTCGACAAAGATACACAAGTCTGTCCAACGGAAAACAATAGTTTAACCCATCATGCTTCACTTGTCAATGCATGGGCGGCCAATAAATCTTCAATACAAAACACGTCTGCTGAAGACCATGTAGTGGCTCAAACAGCGCAAAGTTACACCTTACCTGAAATAAGCACGTGGTCGTTTCCACTTCCTGAAAAGCAGCACGATCAACGTTCTGAGAGTTCAGAAGATGCTCAAAAGGCTTACAACAGAGAAGGCGATACGCAACAGCCAGACAACAACCTGCAGCTATTACGACAGTTGAAAACACAGGACGAACATCTCCACGTGTCAGAACTTTACACGGACCCATGTTTGCAAACCTTAGCACAAGCGTCGTTACAAGTAAAGCGACAGGGATCTAACTTTGAAATTCGTGACGAAATTCTCGGGAAACGTTCTGAAGTGGGAAGACATGTACACTACTATAAACATACACAAATAAAACAACAGAAGCAGCATGATCAGCAGGAACCGAAACACATTATAAGTACAGACGCACAGGAAGTCGTAGGAACGGAACAGTTTCAAGCACGATCATATGCTGCACAGAAACTCCTAGCAGGTGACGTGCTGCGATTCCGAAAGCATTTGTCAGCACTTGCAGATGCCGTGCATCAAATACCGGTAAGCGCCTTGAGTGAAGACTGGCAGCTCCCCGACGCAACGCGAAATAAACACTCCTCACCAAATTGCGACGTTCAACATCCCCCTTCACAGACAACGAGCACATATCACGGAAATCCACAAATGCAACCGCAACTGTTAAAATCGAGCAGTAGACGGCTTGTAGTACCTCAACCTCAGATCATGCAACGGTCGACGACAAGCATACGACCTTCCCGCAGCAGGCTGTCGCGAGGCAGTGACCAATTTAAAATGCAGAGGAATCCTAGTACGAGTTCGAGACGCTCCGATACATCCAACGGATCGATCAGTCATCGCGACAGAAAGCCTGATGAAAAGGGAATTCGAGTGAACAAGAAACTGATGCCTCGCCGTGTTGTTAAAAACGTCGACGCGCACCGCAAGTACACGAAAAAGCTTCGCGAAAACCATCCCCTCAAGGTTGTGTCAACGCACTCGCCACGATGTAAGATAAAAATGCCCAACAGACCCCGAACCGTGACTCCCAAAGATCCTCCGTCGCAGCCGTTAGTATCAATGGCTTCGCGGTCGATGGACGTTCCACGTGCGAACGCAGCCTACTGCCAACAGAAGACCTTCGCTCCGGCGCTTGGATGGAACGTGCCAAAGCCGCGAGTGTGTCACGTCCCGGTGGAGAACAGGGATTCGCATCTCGCCGTCGAAGCGAAAGAGCAACAGGTTCAACAGGTTCCACAGGACGCAACGCCGTCTGCAAGAGGCCAGCCCCCGGAGACAGTAAATAGCCAACGTTCCGAGGTGCGAGAACGTCTGACAATGGCTGTGTGTCGTGCACTGAGGCCTCTTACCTCGTTCCAACCGATCATAGAGGAGACGGTGCAGTGTGTGGAAGAACCTGCCCGTGACTCGAAGAACGAGTTGCGAATTCGTTCAACTAATGCGACTCATCGTGAGGAAGGTAGCAAAGAATCAGCAATGAGGTCTCGTTCGGAACCTCAAGCAGAAGATGCTCTGAACAGCTCGGCGTCATTCTCCGACGATTCGTTCACTGTGAAATCGTTTTCATTAAACTCGTTCTCTCCTAATGGTTCGTCTGAGTGCTGCGAATTGGAAGAGTTTGATTCTGAACTTGAATCAAATAGTATTGAGGAAGAAGATTCGCACTTGTACAGTGGTTCCGGGACACCTCTCACCGAATGTAGCTCCGATTCCAGTGCATGTTACTCACAGTCGAGTATTTCAATCAAGCAAAGACCTTTTCTGCGAAGAATGCATCAAGTCCTGAAGTCCCGTTTCTTTAATTGCACATCCAGAATTAAAAGTAGTTGTGGCTCAACTGCATCTCTCAACTGATAAAACATTTCTTGCTACTTGTTATCTTCCTCTTCTGATGAAAAATAAAAGTGCTCTCTTTTGTGTCTCTAATGATTTTGACATGTAAATAAAACGGCCATAGATGTTTTGGAAATTCTTTGTATGTATTGTCCCAAAATGACAAAATTTCTAACCTGCTAATATATCTAAATGCCTTTTTCCCCGACACATAATACGGCTGAATGTTCCATTAGTGACCGTCGGTAGCTCGAGAGTAGCTCGACGACCATTTCTCGCACGTTCAATGTATTAAGAGGAGGAACTACAATCTAAGCAACTTTTCGGCTTAGAAGCATGAGTTATAGTATATTCTTAAACGACCGCATAATGAGGGCTATTGTTCACGAGTTGATATTTACGACCGGAGTGGCGTAAGAGTGAGTGAATAATAGCCATTATTCCCGAAAAGAAGACTATACTTTTTCTACGATCTTAAAATTGTCATAATAGTTTTTTAATAGATTTTGTTTTACTTGAAACTCAAGTACAAGAGTAACTTACATCAGTGTAGTAATATAAGATACACAATGAATCTGAATTTATTTTTTGACAAAATTAATGATAAAGTTAGTGCAGTTAGAAACACTTATCACTGATTGTGTTGACTCTTCATCAAAATTGACATCATACGATGATGTTGATACGGTCTTTTGCAAGTTTTTCTTCTGTTCTACACGTTGCAATATTTTGTTTGGAGTGCCATTTTTTCCATAGAATCGTCTATATATCCTTTAGCAATCGACGTACTCTTCCTGCCCCATATCGTTTCAGTAGTAATATCTTTTCACAGCATCAACTAATAAGTTGGCAGAAGATTACGGAAACTATGACCAGTGTAAAGATTTGCATTCATTTTATATTGAATGATAATTGCGAAATTTCACGACAAATACGAGTACAACAATGTCTAGGTCACGAACATGAAACTGAGAACATGAACTGAGAAATGACACTGAACATGAAACTGAAGTTGAGATTCATTGTCATTCATTGTCTACTGCGGTTCAAAAGAAGCACGCATTGAAAAGAGAATGCAATTCTTCCCGTGGATTCCGAAACTTCTAAGAATGTGATTGGTCAATAAGCCATGGATTTTGAACTGGAATTCAGGTGGATGTAATCGATGTCATTTGTCGATACAACAGGAATACGTACATTATTAAATAGTCCTAATTACTTGATTCGTAAGAGTACCGATGTCCTTTACGATTACATGCACAAAAGGTGCAAGAGTTAACACCGTTAGCCGAATGGCTTAACTACGCTCCGTGAAGTCACGGAAGTAAAGCAACTTGAGATACCACGAATTTCTGGAAGGGTGATCGTCTGGGAACCCCGGGTACTAACGGCACTAAGCCCGTAGCCGAAGAGTAAATGCCAATGATTTCGACGTTACAAGACTAAAGGCCGATCTTAACGCAGGATTTTTCCTGATAATAGTCTACACATACACTTCATGTCCAAATGGGCCAAGAGATATTGTTTTTAATTTTCACAAATTAGACACTGACTTCAATAAAAACTCTTGCCATGAAGAAGGAAGGTTAACAACGCTAGATTGTATATAGTATTTTACTCGTTTTATTGATAGTTGAAATACAACATTCACAATAGTTTAAAGAAGAAACTGAGTTAATAATCAGTTAAGAACTACCAAAGATAATTGTAACCACGAAGTTAACAAACTTTATCATCAATCCACTTAATGTTTATGGACGTTAATAAACTATTTAAAGCTTGCCTTGCAAACATCCTAATACTTGCGTTTAACATCAACACTTGACACAAAGTAAAACTCATACACACAAAAAATATGCACATGCAGTATTTCAAACTTTCTGAACTTCAGCAACTGATAATTCCAAACTCATGTCCTGGAAAGACAGATCTGGACATTTCTTATATTCTAACGGCCTGAAATCAAAAGATCATATATTTTCTCACATATATTCCCATTTCGTTTATCACGAGACGTTAATTGATTGTGGATATGCATTTCTGATATCTGATCACCCTGTCATTTCGTTGAAACCTACGTAAAGTTATATGCTTTTACTTATAATTTCTACTTTTCGTATCAGTGACTTTCGATCAAAGTCCCTACCAATTTTCGTAGTTTTTATGTGGTTACATCCACTAGTGTCATTATGAAGATTGAAATTTTTAACTACACCTGAGATAGAACATTTTTGCTGAGGGACTGTGATTTGATCTGCGTTTTCATGAGCGAATTCAACGTCCGTTGTTCGTTTCAGAAGAGATTTTTTATGGATATTTAGTGAATTATTTTTGGTCTAACTCCGGGAAAAAAAAATTATGTTGTATGTTTTATATTTTAGATGACAAGCAAAGCAAAATTTTATACTTCATGTCTTTTCTCTCTATGTTAATCCAGTCTTTCCCAGACCCTTGCTCGGCTCAGATGTACGTGAGCACTGCCAGAAGTTCGAATACGAAATGCACAGTTGACCTCGCTCTCCACTCGCGTTGCGGCCATCGGTCGCCCGGCTGCTGAATATTGCTCTACACGAGTCAGTTGGCCTTCTCTGAATCACCTCCCCTTTCAACTAAATTTTGGATTTGAAAGGGAATTGCTTCTCATTTGCCATATACAAGCTCCGTGCGCCAAAAATTCTTTATAACTTGCCTTCTCTCCCCTACGCCAGGTCCAGCCCAGAGAGTATTATAAGAGAGACGGCACTCAATGTTAAACGAGAGGATTTTGTCCTCTAACCAGCCAATAGCGTCGAAAGGTGACCTGCCAATGGAAATGGAGAGCAGATGTCAACTGGGACATTGAAAATGATATTGTTTTAGCTATTTTTCAATTTGGCGGAACATTATAATTACATAAATATAATTTATTTTTTGTAAAACTAGTGCGCAACGTAATACAGAAGCAAATTATTCTGTTATAATTTGGAATTCTGAAGAAATGAAGAAACGTTTAGTCAAAGTGGTTCAAAATAAAAAGTTATATCAAGTACACAATATTTATTGAAACATAATTCACTGAAACAACTTAAGGAACGGGTGCCATCTCCTGCAACGTCCAGATGGATGTTTATCGCAAGAATCATTGTGCAGTATTGTTTTGTATTCTCCAGGAAAGTCACGTTCTTTCCCATGGCCGTGCCTGCATTAGTCTTGAAATTGGAATAAACAGCATTTTCACACTTTACCATACTTTAGTCTTCACGATTTTTTTGATTTTTTATTTATATCTTGCTGCTGTTTTCTTCCCTTGAAATCCGCCATGTTGGCCCCTGACACTTTCTTTATTACTCAATGCAAAAATGTTCATCTTTTCATCATCTTCAACCTGAAAATTGTTTTTAAAAAGCTTAGTCTGTCCGTATGGATGTCAAATATGTACTAATGCACACACCCACTATCACTACCCATCAAGATGTCATTGATGTAATTCCTGATGCAACAAGCAAGAAGTAAAGTTTGTCAGCAACTACCACTACCGTTCTAAGAGTTAAGGACAGTATGCACAGAACAAGATATTTATAATATTGTTTAGTATGAGCATCAACATGTGATCGCATTGCTTCAAATGAAAATTACCAATTGGACTGTGTGCGGAAGTTTCCCCGCTTAATAAAAACCGTTCAAAAGCCGTGCGAGTAATCAGCTACCAGCCCTCCAGCGGCACCAAAGTGAAACTTCGAAAGTTTGCTGCCTCTTATGAGGCATCGGCTTTTATCAAGGTGAGTTCTGCTTTGGTGATTGAAAATTAAAATACATTTCCCCACAAGAAAGGCAACGAGCATAGTTTGTCATTGGTAAATTACTAAGTCAGGACGTAATAATACTAAATTTCTGACAAAATAATATTTTTACACTTACGTGACAAAACCAGTAATATAACCGTTGGAAGTCACCGTGGCTATGGATTCAGAAAATATTGTACAAAGATAAAGAGATAAGTATATTAAAATAGTAACACTGAAGGTCGTATTGATCAAATTATAAGTAATCAGACTTGCTAATACACTAGTGGTACTCAAACAGCACATACTTTGCTGCATTATTTCTAACTTTTGCGTCTTTACAAAATTCAGAGATTTCAACGACGAGAACTGCGTTAATTTATAAGCGTCCTTTGCTCTAATTGAGGAAAAATTTGAAGCCGTTTTGGGGAATATTTTTATACATTGCAATAATTTTAGCGAAAAGAATGGTAGGTGTATCCGAACGCATACAGTTTGAAAGTCGGTTCGAACGCTTTGTTACTCAGAGAACTGGGAATCACGGATAAGTACCGCGACACCACCGTGAGCACGGAGTCCGTTATCTTGATCAAACCGAAAGATGTCAAACCCGCGAAGACAGAGGGGATGATGGGGAAGAAGATGAGTTCCTGATGGCAGACTATAGAAATGGTTGCGTAGTCTTCCGCGGCTGGAGTTTATGTTCGCTAGGCGATCCGGGACGAGCCGCGTCAATATCGTTTCGGAGAGTGTATTGTGGCCTTCTTCAGAGAGTACTGCTCTGTACACTGTACAGTGTTCACTGTACATACTGTCGCTCATGGAGGTTGTAGAAACCACAACTGATCACTTCCGGGATGGACGGACGGTCACACGTAAGAATCAGGGTTGATGTAGGATTCAATTACTTTCCCCTGCTCTTTCCTTTTGATCCTATACACTCCACTCACGCCATGACTCTTGAAAAATGTAATTGGATTGTTGTTCATTTTCGGAAGCTAAGCCTACTACGCCTTTGCACAGGTTCAAAGTTGGGTGCGTCGTCACTACCGTATAGATGCCTGAAATCTGCTTGGTTTTTAATAATTTCTCTTATTTGCTCGTTTGTAAGTGCTTCAAAAAGAATCGTTCCATTTCTGTC